TCCCTTCCAACCTAAAGGATTCTATGCACTCGAAATAGCTAACTGGGGTTTAAATATAGGTGTCTTGGCAATTTTGACTGTGAGGATGATTGTCACAAATGAGGCTGTGGGCTGACCGTGCACAACTGCAGAGGACCCACAGGGTAGAGCGGCTGCATAATAAAATGCAGATGAAGCTCAATGCAGAAAGCAACTTCTTTGAGACTCCACTTAATGCTGGGCTCTAGGTGACCACTACCCATCTGAACGAGGCATTGGGGGCCTGGCAGACTGCTCTACAATATGAGAAAAATATTCAGTGGGCAACCTCAACCCATCAGGCCTTCCTAAAACATGAAAAACAAATGTTAGGCATTAGAAGAATAACAGAAAACAGAACAGAAAATGGCACTGCTATATACAGTCGTGGTGTTCCCACAACTCGAGTACTGCATACAGCTTGGTCCTCTTACCTCACAGACAGAGGTGTAAGACAATGCAACTCTTTCAGTAGGGATGCATCATGTTATTGTAACTGAGGAACTGGCCACCTATGCTGTGAGCTAAATGACAGAAGAGTTTTTCAGTTTAGATTTTCATGTTCTGCAGAGGGTCTTGAGGCACTGACACTTCCTACCGGGAAGATGCAGAGCAAGCGTCTTTGGAGTAGGTGAGCAGAAGACCATCAACACCCACCTGGACTGTGGCACGAACAGTGTCGGACACCTGATACTTCAGCTCGTTAGCAGTTTGCTGAGATTTTGGCAGCAGTAATGGGTAGGACAGGGACCGGTATTTGGGCTTCATAATCTGCCAAGAGGAAAAAAGGTTAAAAAAAAAAAAAAAAAAAAAAAATCTTTGAAGTGATTGCAACATAGCAGAATAACATCAAAAAATGAAAGGCACGGCTACTGCGGGCAGGCGGCCGAGGCAAGGGCTGTGTTAATGCCCATGCCCCCGCAGCGGTGCCCACGCCTCACCTTGGTGAAGTTCCAGCGCTGGATGAAGTGTCGGGCAACGTCGCGCGCCGCTCTGCCGTGCACCGCGGAGGAGATGTCGTGCCAGGGCATCCTCGGGGTGGTGTACCTGTCAATGAAGTCTGGGGGACAGGAAAGCACATTTGGACCTCCTCAGACAAAGGACATGCACGTGGAGAAGTGCAGGAACCCCCTCCCCACACTGAAGTTTTTAGGACACGGCACCGAGGGCTGCATAGATGAATCCAGACTTAATGTGCAGTCACTGGCAGTCCTAGTCCACAGGCTGTAAGACACAACTGGCCCTAGAACCTCTCAAAGGAGGTTTTTGCTGCCTCTTCCTAGCATTCAAAACAAAATAGCCTCATCACCTTTGGCTCAGAAGCAGGCAAAAAATACGGTTTGATACTGAGGGGGTGTGGAAGAGGGTCTGGGAAAACATCACGCCTCCCGAGGTGCAAAGGCACTTACCAGCAAAAGGCTTGTCAAGTTGAACCCAGTCTTTAAAGACAAAGTTGCAGTAGTCTTTCCCGTGCCAGAACCTCGTTTCCCCAAGCAGCTCACCAACACCCGTCTTCAAGCTGCGGATGGATCCTTTATCTGCCACAGGCAAACACGGGAACAAAAACACAAGCTCCAAAGTCACAGCTTCACACACCGCTGGCAAGCGACTCGCTGCCATGGAAAAGCACTGGTGGGACTTGCCTGGCTCAGCTGCCCGAAGCAGTTTTCTCTCCAATCTTCCTACTGCTTTCAAAGGATGCATATTAGTATTTTTTAATTCCCTATTTTAATATTTGTTATACCAACAGGACAGGTAATATCTAGGAGTCTGCTACAGCTGCCTAAATTATCTCTACACTGGACTAAAGAAACCACTCTGTAATCATTTGCTTTTCCACAGTCCTATGACACTGGAATATCACCACCTGGCAGTCTACTCCCAGCTGTGACTGACCTTAGTGGACTCGCGTACAGCAACATCACAACTAACATCTACTTAATATATTGTACAATACTAATCACTAATTCCAACTTCTCTGCTAGAGGCTGTATTATTTGGCCTCTACAGCAGGGTGTATCTCCTCTAAAGCTAGTCTTTATTAACTAGAATGAGATGACTAAAAAGCTCATCATGTTCCCTCATGCAGTACTGTGGTTTTCCTTTGATTTTGTTTTCCCAAACAACAACACATCTTTTGATAGTTTTACATGTTGAGCAAATGGATCCCAAGTTCCAAACCGATGGTGAATAAAAACGGTCTAAAGTACTGTCGGTGGGGATACTCCCACCTAACAGGATCCCTTTTCTAGAGCCTGTATTTTGGGTGCAGAGTGAGCTCTTTCTCCTCTCTCCAAAGAAAACCAAAACCTTCGGCCCAGACCATAAACATTTCACCAGCATTATTTCCTGATCCTGAGAGCAGCCTTCATCTACTGTAACAAATACTGGCGTGATAATTACACAGTAACATGCCAATAGCAGAAGCTTTCTCCTAACCCAACCACGTGACCACAAAAACCCCTTAGCACAAAAAAAACCCCTTTCAACAGCTAAGAAAACACTGCAGTGTTTTGCAGCAGTGCAACAAGCCCAGTTTACAGGAAGCAAGCACTGCTGTGACCCCCCCCCAAGCTGAGCTGAGCCAAGCCATTCCAAAAGTGCCATGCAGCAGTATGCACCACAGCTGCCTGGGGAAGCTTGAGCTCCTAGTGAGAGTCCAGGTGGAGCTGGGGAATCGCTGACTCCTCGTGCTCAGATGGGAATGGGTGGGATACTGCCTGGCCAAAACACGTTTCATGAACCCGGCCTGGATGACTGCACACCAACTCACGAACGAGGTGACTACAGCAGAGACCACACTTCATTCCCATGAAGCAAATCCATCTCTTCCTTGTTACATGCCACTACTTTCTAATTGATATTCTACAATGGGCAATTAATGCCTTAGAGGAAGACATTAGCAAGAGGAAAATGTTGAAGACATTCATCCTCACCCCATACCAGAACTGAAAGGCATCTCGAGGCACCATACTTGAGCAGGCCCTTTCAACACTGTTCCAGGGATCAGAAGAGCTCGGTGCTCATAACCACTCAACTCTTTTCTCAATCGAGTACACTTTCATTGATTTTAATAAGGGGCAAAAGGGGAGACCCCCCAAGTCTTCATCCAAACCTAGGTCTGGTGGCAGCCACTTGGTTTCCTCTGCTTCTGTTTGTCTTCCTGCATCAGGCTCATTTTTAAATACCAGTGCAGAAGTTCCCAACTCCATTAACAAGCCCCTTCCTTAACAGGAAGAGAGCTGTTGAAATAATCATACACCAGAATCAGAGCTATTTCCTCAATTGTTCCCCGCTGTCATCGTTGTAAATTTCTTTGGGGGCTTTATTTGAGGTTTTTGTTGTGGAGGTATTTTTGACTTTTCTTTGTTGTTTTGTGGCAGATCTTGTTTGGGTTTTTTTGCTTATTTTTGAAGCTTCTGGAGAAGGCTTTTCTGCTAGGATGTCCTTGGAGGGGTGCTACGTATTCTGGGAGAACATGTGGTGAAGGCTGATCCGGACACCCAACCTAACTCTCACTATTGTTACCATGCAAAAACATTGGCAGCTAAAGTCTGAAGGGGTCTCTGCACCTCTGCCTTCCTCCACTTACCCTCCTGAGGCTCAGCAAGCCCCCATTTGGATTCAGTGTGGTGATGGAACATTTTCAGATGGGGCTTTAAACTCTGGATTATATTCGGTTGACTTCTAGTGGGGTTACAGTAACCTGCAGAAAGTCAAAATGCTATTTGTGGCAAAAACACGTCCACTTCCACACTGGTGCCTGATCCTGTCTGAAGACACCTTGTGTGACAGGACCTCAGAAGAGATATCCATTTGCTGAAACTGCAACTGACCAACAGGCAAAGGACCAAATTCAAGACCCAGCTGGTATATTGACGTAGCAACGCCATGGTGATGACCTGAGCTGATTGCAGCCAAGGCAAACGATGCTCCAGTGAGGCCTCCTCTGGCCAGAGGCAGGAGTAAGATCTGCAGGGAGTGATGGAATCTCAAGTTCCCATTGTGAGCAATACACAGCTTCAGGAGCTGAGGACTTCAAGAATTGACTTCAGGACAGACTCCATGCTAGAACTAAATGGCAAGTAATTTTATCTTTGAACCTGTTTTTGATGTGGGGAATTAAAAGCTGCATTCAAATATTCAGCTGCTGAATAGTGTTTCCTCTCTAGTAAGTGCTAAATTGTGAATATTTACATTTATGTGAACTGATTTCAATCTAGGTAACACGAGATTTACAAGAGAGGATAACTGTGTTCAGGAATTCTTTTGCTTGTTATCATAAATACAAGTTGACAAGTGAAAGATTCAATTCTCCCTTGCAGGAACAGAAGTTTTCCAACAACATAAACATTGTGTATCATGTAGACTGCATCATATCATCTGACAGCTCATGACAATTGCTAATTAACTAAATGCAAATTCACTTAAAACCCTTTCTTGTATATTTTGCAAATTTACCTATTGACTACACAGTTATTCTGATAGTTAAGGAAATCATCAGCTCTATTCCTTCACAAAGAACACGTTACCCTCGAAATTAAGTGAATCTGCACACACACACACACCCCACACACTTTCTCCAGGTTGTTCAGGTGAAGCAGGCCACTTACTTGACTCGCTGTCTATGCTGCTGACGCTGTCAGCGTGGTGCATGCCGTGTTTATGCAGGTGCTTGTAAATACTGAACCTTGAAAACTTTTTGGGTTTTCCTACACCCTTCATTTTTGATGTGTCTGGGGCATCATCGGCATTTCTCTGGAACAAAGGGCTCTCTGGGGACAGAGCTTGAGGCCGCAGCGGGACACTTTCAGATGGCTCTGCTGCGGACTGAAAAGACACAAGACATTGCTACAGGTGATGCATGAACAGGTTCTCCTCTAATTATCAGGCACATCAATGCTCAGAGACAACCACGAGCCTAACTTTGCTCTGTGACAAAGACTTACTTTGGTGGGAACCACAAAGACTTTAGAGGCAGAGTCTGGACCAAGGAGGCACTCGACAGAAGACTCCGTTAATGCTAGCACTACATTCTTCAAGCCTATAAATTTACTCTGGATTATCACTTCCCTTGAAATCCTCATAAATTTAGACTTCTCTAGTTTTAAGAGATCTCTGGATGCATAGACCCAGCCCAGCAGAAAGCTGATCTAGCAAGGCACCTGCTGCAGGCCCATATATCCAGAGCTTCAGAGCACTGAGTGCTCACTGTACATTTCTAGCCGAGTTTTATTAAGAAAGCAGCCTCCAAGCTATGACTGTTCCTCCAGGTTCCAACTGCCTATCTCCCTGCCCTAGCCACGACTGGTCAGGATCTAGCCCTAGAGGCTCGTTTTGATGCTCAGATTCATCCTCCTTCCTGTTACTATTACACTTTAAACATCCTACGCCCAACCTCTGAAGCGGACGCAGCTTGTTCATCCCCACCCCAGACCTGATAGGCAGATGTTGAACGTGGCCACCAGCTGAGCAAGCCCACTTACTGCCAGGTTGGTCGTGGACACCGACTTCACTGCCGCCACCCGCTTCACGCTGCCTACGTCGGTCAGGCGGTGCTCGTCGTCATCCCACCTGCCATAGGCCAAGTCGATGCCACCCACAAATGCCACGGACTGGTCAACGATGACAAGCTTCTCATGGTGGGCCCAGAGGTACACGGAGGAGGAGACGTGGTCTGGGTGTCTCATCACCTGGGTAGACAAGTAGCACTCAAGCTCAGGATCACTGCCTGTTTTCTATCCCTCCAGCCAGAGCTGCCCAGAATTTTTTTGGCCATTCAGAATGGTGGGGAACACTGGAGTTTTTAGAAGATGCCTCCACACATACTGCTGTGATTACTGAAGCTCCATGACTCCTCCCCACCCTGAGCTGGGCTCAGACTTCCTGGCAGGCAGGTCCTTCCCCACGACACGGGTAATCCCGAGCAGCAAACGTTACTGATGTCGGGGTAGGTCACTTACAACAACAGTGTTCATAAGAGCACCACAGTCAATGAAACTGTTTCAACAAAATCATGCTTTCGGTAGAGCTGCAATAGCTAAGCTTTCAAACACAGAGCCTGCTCTAAAAGAAAACAACATATTGGTGGGTCTGACTCACTTCTTTGGTTGTTGCCGCTACAAAAGTGAAATGAGAAGCTGGCTGGTTTTTTTCCCCATTTAAAATCAGCAACTTGTTTGACATTTGTTTATGAGATTCTTTTTGACATGGGTTTATGGCCAAGTAATTCCCGTATCTGAGCATAGAGCATACAGCTTTATTTTTTAAGTTTAGAGGAGAGCCATTAGACCAGTTTCCAGCGGAAACCAGTACAGAGTTTCACCTGGCTGCTCCCAAAACCTGTGACACAGCTAGCATGTATCTTCAGTCACACCTTCCAGTCTTGCTGTGAAGGTAATGGTCAACAGATGCTTCCCTTCATTGTGACAACTGATCAAGTGACAATAAATCTAACAAACTGCTAGAATAATAGTCACCCTCACGCATAACATATCTCATTGCTCATTAAAATAGATTTGTCTCTAATTTCAAGAGACCAGATCTAGCCTTATTGACTGGTTTGTGTGCCACCACTCATTTTCTGCTTGGTGGTAGAGCAGCAGCTGAGCAGCACAGGACAGAGCAGCGCTGCCCATCTGTGATGGGAACGTGAACATCCAGCGTTGCCTCTCATTGCCTATATACAAAACAGAAATGCTGAAATGAGACAACGTTCTCAAATTGTAATTTTCCCTTTGATGTAACCTCATTAACTTGTCACATGAAATATGTCTCCTGTGAGTTGGACGAATAGCTGCTTTGGCAAGTCTAAACTAAGCAATTTTATGTTCAATTCTAACCTATAGAAATGAAGTTGCCAGATGCAGTAATCACTGTATGGGTGATTCTCATTTTCTCAGACTAGCCCCACTGCAGTAGTGGGAATGGCTGGTCTTACAGTGCACACACAAACATACTGAGGGTCAGCACAAGGTGTGAAGACCAGATGGATCCCCACGTCCTTCACATGACGGCCTGAAGTGCAGTTTACCTTAATGTTTGGATGGAGGCGCATGAGCGTCCGCTTGCTGTATTCACTGTTGATCCCTAGAGCAAGCTCCACCTCTTTGTACAGCATAATAAAGATTCTCACTCCTTGTTGCTGTTGGGAATAAAAAGAAACAGATGGTGGGCAGGTATGTCAGTGGATACAGGCCATTTCCAAAGCAAGGAAAGCCTAAGGGGCAATAAGAACATTGTGCCTGCAGACAGAAAAGCAGGCTGAGGTTACTTGTTCTTGACTACACTCTTCCAGCTCCACCATGGTGACCCCACAGTATGCAAGGCCCTGCAATGCTCAGAAAAGCCCTTCAGCTTCCAGAGGAGGGATTAGTACCCGTATTTGTGTGTGAAGAGCTGAGCTATGCCAAAGGCCATCAACAGGTCATTCCTACTGCAGCCCCTTCTAAACATCTGTTGAGATTTTGCAGAGGTGATTGACTCCACAGATTGAGAACTTCCCACTGAAGTTCAGGCTTCTGCTGCTCCATGTTGCCCTGAGGTTTACCTACAGTCAAAAGCCTCTGCAGGACAACGATACCAGTGTGGTCATACAGACATCCCTCTCCCAAAGTACAACCAACTCAACACCAGCAAACCTGTTTTATCTCCTGGTAGAGCTAAACAAGCTCCTGGAATACAATGAGCAGCAATCAAAGGATGCTGATTTTTGTGACCAGAATGGTATCCACAAGAGGGCTTCTAAGGACATTTGTTAAAGCACGTGCAAAACTGCCAAGCGCTTTCCAAACTTTGGCAGCTGCTGTTCACACATTGGAACACCTTCAGTTGCCATAAATCAGCACGGTTTAAAACCTTGCAGTGCAGTTTCCGTAGCTTAAATTTGGGATCTAAACCTTCCACAGCCTTTTAAGTTCCTATTCCCATAAAGCTGCTAATGAGAGCTTAGACAGTCCCCAAATAGGGGATGATATTCTCCTCTCCACTGCACCCAGAGAAGCCCAAGGCAGCACTGCACACAGATAAAGGACAGCCTTACTCCTGTACCTAGACACCAGCTTGCTGACCACCCTGTCAAGTCCAAGAAAGGCCACAAGAATAGGCAAATATTTCCAGGAACTAACCTTAAAACACTCCTGACTCTTACATGGTATTTATAGCCAAAGGAAAATCCATGTCAAAATGACCAACAAAGCCAGATTCTCCCATCCAGTGAGCACACCCCACCGCCACACTTCATCTGTCAGAAAGTAAGACTACTCCAAAACAAAAACAGACAAAGAAAAAATGGTTCTTTTCTAGGCACATGAAGAGACCTGTACTGTGATGACAACAGGTTTGGAAGGAGAGGAAGTCAAACACTATTTCAGCACGTCCACGTGGACTTCTGCCCTTCCACCAAACCAAGAGTTCAAGAGACTTTCCCAGCCATGCTTCCCTTCCTGACTCCCTGCTCACATGGGGCAAAACCACCTTTTCTAGCACCAGTGTTACCACAGCTTGGCTGAACAACTGAAGTACAGCCCACACTCCTGAACACCTCAGGCTCAGCTTCTGCCTGCCTTGCTTGGCTACATGAAACAAGTTCTCTATAGGCTGGATCCAGACGAGTTATTGGAAGGCAGAGTACAACCAGCAACAAAATCAATTCTTTTCTGAGATGAAAACGCTTCGCTTAAAGAAAAGGGAAACAGAGCAGGCAGTTGCAGCTGCTTGCTTGTGTCTCAATATGCTGCACAAGGAAGGAGAGTACAGAGCTTTGAGCAGGAATCTTGAGGAGTGTCAGGAGAGGCACCAGATCAACAGCAGGTCTGAGCTTTTCTGTTCAGGAGGAACAGCAGCAAAGCAGAAATTAAAACAGAAAGAAAAAAGTCTCATCAAGTTTATACCAGCATTTGCTTGCTGAACACGAGCATTTATTAACTCAGATAACATGGCAATGCACTCAGGAGTCCAAGCCTCTGAGTCATGTTTAACACCTCCTTATAAACAAGCTGAACACCACAGTCCAGCCCTGAGGAGCACGATGCTGCTTGTGTTTGTATGCTTTTTAATGCTTTGCTGAAGCCCTTGCCCCCCATCCCTTCTCCACAACAATGTGTCAGGACTCCCATGACCAGAGTGCCCACATGAGGAGGGACAGGCAGGGAGGACACAGCTGATCTGCCTCATCTTAGTGGCCACAAGAGCCATGAGAAAAGAGAACAGAGTGTGTAGGAACAATGATAACCAGAGACATACAAGCAGCAAGACCCAGCTACCAAAAATATTAAGCTTTTTCTAATCATTTAAGTCAGCGTTGGGAATAAAAATAAGATGACACAAAAACCTTGCAGTTTTTTTCCAGGCTGGGCTCCATGAGGGTAAGGGGGCAGGAGACACTGGGATGATGTTTAATGCCAACAAGCACCTCTTCACTACAGCAAGGAATGATGAGGGAACAGCAAGAACATCAGTTCTTTGGTTCTTTAGTTGTCTCAAGTATGGAAAACCCAATGAGAAGGCTGAGATAGCACAAACCTCTGTATGATACCAAGTGGCTTTTTGCTAATGACATCCTGACTTTCTCAGCACACTGACAGGACCTTTCACAGCTTCAGCTCTGAAAGCTGCAGCACAGAAACACAATACATGGTAGTGACAGACAAGATCTGCAGAACACAGTAATGTACAAACCACCTACCAAGAGCCACCACAAAGCGCTTAGTCTTTCCTGCACCTCTAAATTACCTACACCACAAAGAGAGCACCAGACAGCAACAGCTCTTTGACCCCATCACGAGCTGAAGTGACCTATATCAAAGGACCTGAAGGTGCCATCAGAGAATCTACTCTTCTGCCTCTGACCTCTTCCAAACCCAAACCGGGTGAGTAAATCAACACTGAGGCCATCTGCAGTGAGGACTGGTCAGCTCTACCTCTCACCCCTACCAAAAGAAAGGGTGCAAACCCTCAGTCCCAGTGTGACCCTGTCACTGGGTGGGCACAGAGGGTTTTCTGCAGGGTGACTGCTGCAGCTGGAGCTCACTTACTGCTTTCCGTTTGAGGATGCAGTCCAGCCGCCAGCGATTCCCTTCCACAACAGGTCGTTTCATGAAGATTTCTGGGCTCAGCCTGAGAAAAGAAAGAGGTGGAAAAAAACCACAGTGTACGTAGTCTGCAAACAAAGCACTGGCCTGAATAATCAGCTCAGGAAGCAAAGACATCAAAGTTTACATGAAGTGGATGTGAAGGCTCATGTTGCAGAGCAACGCATTCTCCAACATCATGGGGGCTTTTTTTAATAACAGAGCTTTACAGAGGGCAGGGCATGTGTCCAGCACATTCATCTTAGTATTCAACAACCCATGAGACCAAGTTTACACATCACATTAAACTGGTAAACTTGGACTCTACCTATGAAAGATGCAACATGGGAAAACCCCAAGGTAGACTTGGAAGAAATGTGTAGACATCAAAAATAAATAGAGGGATTTCAGTTCTCATGATACTTAGGCTGAGTAGCATAGATTTGTGCTGAATTTTCCTTGCTGCCTAACGACAAAGCACCTCTCAACAGGACATCTTATTGATTTATAGCTTTAAGGGTTACAAGGAATAATTAAGCTATCTCACCTAACTCCTGCAAAGCAAGGTGACACAGCTTCATCCTTTCACTTCTGTACCGAGCAAGGGAACTTGTGTCTGCACAGAGCATACAGCTACATCCTAAAAACGTGCTGCTGACATCAGCATTTTTATCTTAAAACACTGAGTTTCAGGTAAGTTTTGGAATTCCAAGATACATTAACAACTGTCTGAATAAAACATGAAGGAAGAGACAACGGGTCTGCAATGCAACAGTCTTACATTGCTACCTGATGTTGCACATGGGGATGCAGGAGCATTGGGTTTATCTATGGTCACATTAGGAAACAGGGGTACCCCAGTAAATACAGACAATGAATTTAGTTTTCTCATAATACTTGCCATTTAAGGATTAATTCTCCCTGTTCCTCCAGGCAATGGATTAGCAATAAGAGGTTCATTTTACAAATGGAGAACGAGGAGCACTGAGATGTGCCCAAGGTTGAAGAGGACTTCTGAGCTGTGGCTTAGGAGCCTGCCCTACCATCCCCTGTACAAGGTTCAGGATGGCTCAGCCAGATGAACCTCCACAAAGGCAAGACACAGGCAGCTCCAAAAACGAAATGGCAACCAAGGCTATCCAGCCAAGAAACCCCAAGTCTGTGAGAAGACCCTTTTTCTGCCCCAAAGAGGAACCAGAGCAATGCACAAACATGTTGAATTACTAGTTAAGAAGTAGGCAGAGCCAAGTCCTTCTTGGCGGCCACACAGGTTGGGGAAAGGACAACACTCCCCCCTCCACTGTCTGGTCCATTTAAGAGCAGAGCACAACTACAGTTCCCCCAAGTTGCTCCCATCATTGGCACGAGGCTTCCCAAGACAGTCAGAAGGAGCTGAAAGGAGGATCCCAAGTAGGATCACATGGGAAGAGCTGTCAGTGGTGCTTGAGCATGTTCCCTTACACTCCAAGACAATCCTACCCCTTGGGTATGCAGTAATTTAACCTCCTGCATCTCCAGCCATCGCATTTGCAGTTCAGGTGGGGCCTTCATACAATTTCAGGCCTTTTCCTTGGAAGGAGACAACCAAGCTGTTGATTTCAAGCATGAGCTTTTGCTACCAAGCCTCCTGAAAAGGCCTTTGAACACAACGCCAGGAGATGTTTGGGTGTGCTGCCAAAGCAGCTGGCCGCACGGCCGCTGCCACACCGTGGGGCCCCCACACAGTGCCGCGTTGTCCGCAACGCCCCACAAGACACGGCTGCTTGACACCCCAACAGGTAGGTACAAACCACCAATCCGTGATGAAGATTTCCTCCTTAGCAGCTTCCATGGCGTTTGCGACATCTTCAAAGTAGGACTTGGCATTTACATACCTGAAAGAGCAAAGAGAGTGCATGGATTTAGGTTTCCTTCCCCTTCATTAAACCAAGTCCACAGCTGAAGACCACTGGGGTTCTGTGTCAATGCCACTTACATTCTCTTCTCAAAAGCAAATACAAACTTAATTTCAAGAATTAGGACAACATGCAGGGATAGTTTCATTGAGTTACTAATAGCATGAAACTGCACAGTAAGAGATTATGAAGTGGCACTTGGTACTTCTGCCAACCACAGACAATATTCTTGGGGTTTGCTTGACGTGTGAGCTAGGCCTGGCTCTCGGGAAAGGATGGCAAAGTGGTGTTTGCTTTGATTTACATAAAGTATGTGGGCAGTGGTTGCTGCACAGCAGAAGCTGCTGGAGAGCACCACGAGGGTTTGCTTCCAGCTAGAATCAATTTTATGACTGCTTCTGGGAATGGCTTTTAGTGCAGCCAGGTTACACTTTGGATGGAAGGAATACTCATGGGACTGCTGCTTGCATAAAGCCCAGCCTCCCTTAGACTATATACCCAAACTGGCATTTGCTGATTGTTTTCCATTGCAAAGCCCTGCAAGGCCTGAATCTGATGCTGCTCTTCAACCAGATGAGTGACATTTGCATCTGAACACATCTATGATGTAGGGGAAAGGGACCTGGGGGTCCTGGTAGACAACAGGATGACCATGAGCCAGCAGTGTGCCCTGGTGGCCAAGAAGGCCAATGGCATCCTGGGGTGCATTAGAAAGGGTGTGGTTAGTCGGTCAAGAGAGGTTCTCCTCCCCCTCTATTCTGCATTGGTGAGACCACATCTGGAATATTGTGTCCAGTTCTGGGCCCCTCAGTTCAAGCAGGACAGGGAGCTGCTGGAGAGAGTCCAGCGTAGGGCTACAAAGATGATTAGGGGAGTGGCGCATCTCCCTTATGAGGAAAGGCTGAGGGAGCTGGGTCTCTTTAGCCTGGAGAAAAGGAGACTGAGGGGTGATCTCATCAACGTTTACAAATATGTAAAGGGTGAGTGTCAGGAAGATGGGATTAAGCTTTTTTCAGTGATGACCTATGATAGGACAAGGGGTAATGGGTGTAAATTGGAGCATAGGAGGTTCAAGATGAATATCAGAAAAAATTTTTTCACTGTGAGGGTGACGGAGCACTGGAACAGGCTGCCCAGAGAGGTTGTGGAGTCTCCTTCACTGGAGTCATTCAAAACCCACCTGGACACCTTCCTGTGTGATGTACTCTAGGTGACCCTGCTCTGGCAGGGGGGTTGGACTAGATGATCTCTCGAGGTCCCTTCCAACCCCTATGATTCTATGATTCTATGATTCTATGATGCCTGGAAGGGCAATGCTGCCTTACAGAATGAGAATCAGCCTGGCAGGTGCGGTGAGCAGAAGATATCTTACATTTCAGAGCATGAAGGACATGACCAGACTGTCAGTCACAAAGGAACATGGGCGGGACAGGCTGCAGCACAGCTGCTTTGGGAAGGCACAGCCAAAAAGGCTGATATTTCCAATAGCATCTGTGTTACTGTGGGTTTACAACGCAGAGCTCAAAGACCTAAACCCTTAGGAAACTGTTTCCAGAATCAGAAACTGGGATAAAATCAAAGCCAGGAATATCTGAATGAAAGAGCACTTCTGATTTTAACTCATAAGCACCCTGCCAATTATATGTGCATCAAAACACCGCTTTTATCATTACGATAATAAATACCCAACGTGTTCAAATTCAAACAATACTCCACATTTCCAAATGCTATTAAGGCCATAAGAGGATGAAAGCACTCCTGTCACCAGTACTGCCATTCTGCTCCTGGTGAGGGAAGCCTCATTTTTTGCAGCTTCTCTAATTACCATCAGTCCCTGCAGCGACCAAACGCTACCAGCTCTCTCCCTCAGAGCCAGGGTAAGGCCGCCTGTGTGCTGTGGCTGCTGCAGGTGACAGCCCCCAAGGAACGAGTGGGTGATAGCTTTGTTGTGGTGCTCACCACTTGACCAGCGTGTCCTCCTGCACGGGGGCGTAGGAGCCGAAGCGGTGCTCCGTGAGGAAATCCTTGCCGTGCTTCCGAATGAACTCATCTATGCCCTGCCTCCACCACTGGGCGTGTCTGTAGCTGTTACACTTCAAAATCAGCGACCTGGAAAACAGACCACGCGCTGGGCAGGATGCTGAAACCTTCAACCTTTTATTGGGCTGCTCCTCGCTGGCTGTACACAGTGATAAAAACACCTCTGTATGCACAGTCATGTTTTATTTAAGCTGAAAGGACTTTGTTTCGTTTTGTTTGCAAAAGAAGACATCAACACTGAGCTGCTCTGAGTGGCTACCACCGCATTAAAAAAATACCCCAGATTTACATCAGCTTACTTGCACCTAGATAATACTTTTTTTTTTTTAAAGGATGAATTTATACTGTACACTACCATAAAAATATAAAATATCTCTTTATCCCAACTTGCATGGCTTTTGGGTAAGAAGCCAGTTGGGATGTAGAAGCACACCCTTGCTTGCAGAATAAAGGAACAAAGTGGCTGGAAAATTACCCTAAGCAATTGCTGCAAAACCAGACTGTGCAACTCAGCCTGTGCCCCCAGGCCCGAGCAGTAATTGCAAGGATAGACAAACAGCAGCCCAGGCCCCCATGCCTCATTAAGACATGGGAAAAGATCAGGGCCAAATCCCCTCCAGCTATAAAGCCAGCAGCAGCTGGGAGCACCCTGTTAGCCCAGGGAGCCTCCAGGAGAGGAACATTGATTCTTCCTTAGGAAAGCAAAAGCCAACTCAAAAGGGTCTAAAAGTCTGGATTTCTTACCTAGAGAGATTGTCGATCTGCAACCCGTATTTAGTTTCCGTTTCTTTCTGGCCTATCTTAATGCTGAATTCTTTATCCACCAGCAGGACAAAGCCAATAGCCCCCGAGTCTGGCTTCATGTACAGGAGGAAAGAGTCCTTCACCACCAGCCACCTGCACGGGCACAGCAACCAGGTAACTTGTATTTCATGCCAGCCATCAAAACATGAGCCATAAAAAAAAAAACTCATAGAACAGAAAAGTGTTTCCTTCAAATCAAGTGCAAATCACTTATCAGGGAAAGGAAAGTGTTCAACTAAACCACAAAATTTCTTTTCAAGGGTTAGTGCAAGGTATGGTTTTCTTGAACAGAAAAGTGCCTGTTTTATGAGCTTGGGTAATGAGACTGAATTAAATGTAACACTTCTAGAGTTTTTTGCATGATTCCTTTATATAGTCTTTCGAAATACAGGTTTTGTTGTTTAACAAAATCAATAAGCATCAATGCCCACAAACCTCCCCAGAACCAGACAAGGTGCAACCAGAATTCCTCCATCCCAGGTTTTTATTCAGCTCCTATGCTACATGGGAGTTACCTGACATTTCTAACATTAATTCTGATGCTAGGATCACTTTCACTCCCATCAAAATATACCAACTAGGCATTTTGGAAAGCTTTTATTGCCAAGCAACAGGCCCCTGTTAGAAACAAACGAGAGATGACCAGAAGGTTTTACATAAATACCATAGCCTGAAGGCAAATCTAGGAAAAAAAAATCACATTTTTTCCTGTGAATGGCATTTCTAATTTTTTCTCCCCCTCAGGTAACTGTCCCCCTGTCCCACACACTGTGCCACCAGACTTCTGCCTCTTTCTTCTGCGCACTCAGAAACAAACAAAGCAACAGAAAATAATGTAAAAATCTGTTCATTCTTATATATTTAGTAACAGCCTCAGCTTCTCACCTACTACCAGATTCCCTAATTTTTTCTTTTCTTTCAGGGCTCTGAAAGAGTTACCACAGCATTACCTCTCATTTGGTGCCAACATACCTCCCCACCTTACTTGGCCTGTAATTTCACTCCCAAGCATCCTACAGGGTACATTTCCAAGCATTTCCATCCAAAACATCCCTTTCCCCAGCCCCCATGGCCATAAGACATCCAACTGACTATAATAAGTGACACGAATCTGGGGTACAGAAGACAGCGAAATGTGAGAACTCCTGTTACTCTGCACATAAACCCACTCGAACACTTCTCCCATCCCCTCCTTAGGCACTAAAGGAAAATGGAGATCCATCAGAGCTGAATGTGCTACTGTCTCCACTAAAGCCTGAGCTCTGCATAGCATGGGGAAGAGTTAGCTGAGGGGTATTGAGAGGAAAAGGCATTTTTTCCCATAAAGGAGAAAAAAGAGTTGGAGACAATTTAATGATTTGACCTGAAAAAAGGTCACATCTTGTGCACTCATTATAGAACTCTTCTGTAAAATTACAGTAAGCACTATTGGAAAGATCATGAAGAAATAAGACCTTTTCTTCACAAGAGTGCAGAAAGATTTTGTTGGGAAACAGAATTTTAAGATAAAACCAAGAACAGCCCATTGGCAATGCTGAAATCCAAAGGTGGATAATACTTGGGGAAGCTTTTACACACCAAAAAATTGTTGCTTTAAGGCAGATATGTGCTATTTGGATTTTCAAAAGCAAAGATTTGTCCATGAAGGGCAAGCTCCAGGAAATACCTCTTGCATTTTTTGGATGCCAACTTTCAACACACATACTCCTCAAGACACACCTCCCTTCTGCAGTCCCAAGGAACACCAAGATCAAACACAGAGGGTAAAGGGATGGGGACAATAAGTTATGCCTATCTGCAATAGGAAGGGACACAGGAACAGAGTGCCTTGCGAACACACCCATGAAGACATCAGCATTTAAGCTCATGCAGCAACAGGAGGCAATGTATTTAATTCTAAGGTTAACTGCACCAAACGAAGCTGCAGGTCACATCTGATTCGATCCAGCTCCAAAGCAGCCTAGATAGTGTTTCCATTAATTTTCTTTTTATAAATCAAGGGAGAGAAGGTCAGAAAACCAGGTTGAAATCTAGCCAGGGCAGTGCCACCAGTTGCGTCCTCTCCCAATGGCACAGAGACCCTGGGCGCTCCTGCAGCAGGGAAAGATGGGCACAGACTGGGGGATTATTGCCACTTCTGCCAGCTCAGAGCTGTAGGAAACCCCAGTTTTCCCCTGGAACAACACATCTTTTTTATAAACTCCAAAACCGAATCAAATACCCACCACCCTCCACACCAAATGTTGAAATTCCTATGGACCCTTTCAAACTGAAAATCTGTGGCTTCTTTAAGGAAAAAAAAAAAAGCAAATATCTCCTTCAGACTTTTTGGGAGAAAAAGATGAATGAGGATTTTTGTACGTATGCCTCAGGAGCACAGAGCATGCCCATGTTCACCCATCCCAGCAGTACCTTTTGGACCATCTGTAGCACATCCTTCCTTGGCCACAGCAGTTCAGGCCGGGTATGCGGTGCCCCCCCGAGCGCTTCATGATGAAACCTTCTCTGCAAGGACAGAAACACCGTCAGGGTGGGTGGCCTGCCTCACCTGGAGGTGCTTGCTGAGTCCTCCAGCCCCTGTGCCCAGGGATGCCTCAGGCCTGTGCACCCTGCCCGAGCAGCCTCTGCACCATGCCCTGAAAGCTGGAAGAAGGGCACAAATAACCCACAGAAGGGAACTGTGCAGATTTCAGAAACACAGGGCCCTGGTTTATAGCAGAAGCAGAAAACAAGTGGGTCTCGAGGCTGCAAGGGGGGAAGGAGCCCTGCACATCAGCTTGCAAGCTGCATCCTGCAAAGCAGTCTGCTCCCAAAACTATTTCCCCAGAGCTGCAGCATTTTCTGTCTGAACAGTAATATTTTTTTTTTTTTTTTCTATCTGGATGGCAAAGTATTCCCCAGTCAGTTACTGGTGAGAAAGGAAAGCTACTGATTTGACAGTATTTATTTATAAAGCTATGCTCTTAGGGAATCCTAAATGAAAGACACAGCTCACAACTCACATGCCCTTCGGTCCCAGGTCATGGATGAATGACAGCTGGTTTACTCCAATGAACTCCATCTGGGGAAAGAGGAAAAAGATCCCCCCAGTCTTTCATACTCTGAAATCCACAAAACACTTGGCTTCATCAAAGTGACTTGTCATAATGACAGAACCCACAGTCACTTAAGCACCTTCAAGAAAACTAAGAGAAGTATAGGTGGGTTGGGTTTTGTGTTTGACTGCTTATTTATTTTAAATGTCCTTTGGAGAACACATTTCAGGCAACCAGGATAATCAAGATCAAATGTATCACAGGGACCCACCAGTAGCCTCCCTTGCGGATCACTGGCTGAAATAAGTTTGACACTGTGTGGGGGTCTGGGTGCTCCTGGCTGGCTGCCTGAATCCTCTCCTTCCTCCAGTGACCCTCTCAGAAAGGCTGGAAAGGGCATGAGCATAAAAGGAAGGAGCCAAAAACCTGCAGGAAAGCCACAGCGGGGCAGGAGGGCAAGTCCAAGCACACTCTCCATGCTTTCTGTTGCTCTGCACAGCGCTCCACAGCGAGCACAGCCTCGGGAAGCCTCGTGCCATACTATCAGGTTTACCAGCCAATCTCACATCCAAGCAACCTGCCTCCTCACGGCCCCTCCTGCTTCAGCAGCGACTGCAGAGGAGCGTAACAACAAGCAAAGCTGGTGAGAAAGTACAGCACAGCTACAGTCACCTCTAAAAATAGAACAGCAGGGGGGTTTGACCAAGCAGGCTCTTCTTGGCACAGCAGGACATTCCTGACAGTCTGCTGGTTCCCAGTCCCTGTTAGCAGGGAGAAATGACCATCCTGGGTGTCCCGTGCAGGACAGGGCTGGGGCAGGAGCTGCCCTGCACAGCAGAGGCTTGTCTGCTCCCAGGCACCTTCCATTTATTATGGTGTCAAATCATCCAAGAGCAGAAAGGTGCTCGGGGCAGGGTGAGGGCAGGAGCTGCCCTCGCCTTGGCTCAGGCAGCAAGCCAGAGGGAACCCTCCAACCACATGTTTTGGCAATAGAGTCTATTTGGGCATTAAGAAGCCCAGGACTCAACCCACACTCCTGACCACAGATGGGACAGCAGAGAACCTTGGAGCCAGGTTCAGGCCACGCCAACCCATGCCTCACAGCAGCTCAGGTGCCAGCTCAGGTGCCAGCACCCGAGAAAGGGCTCTCCTCCAAGGTGGCCGCTGTCACCTGCTTTTTGGCAAACCACCCTCAGGCTCCCCACTGGCAAAATCTGATTTTGCACAGAAATCACATGGGTGGACCCATAAGTGCCAGAGATATTTCTGAACACTAAATATACCAAAGGCTATCAGTAAATTTGGGGCAAAAGTCTGTCTTGCCAGTTATGGTGAGGCCAGCTCAGGCTCCCTTCCCAACACCATCAGTTTTGCCCCATAAAAGCAGAAGCAGGACAGAATATCTTTCCTCCCCCTCATATTCTCTTGCTCCTGGGACCTTCCCAGAGTTCTCACACCAGTAAGGCCATGGAGAAGACCAAAAGACCTGTTCTCTTCTGAGTAGCTCGAGGATATAAAGTAACCAAAGATATGAATTTAATGCCCTCATTTTTGGGTGATTTCAGCCTGTCTTCAGAAAGTGGCTGGAAGCAGCTATTCCATGCTTTTACTAACAGCCTCGCTGTCACCACTCTCACTACACATTCTGGAAGAGCACCAAGTGTGACCTACAAACATTTCAGCTGTTTCTGCAGTGACGCTCAGAGCAGGACAGGGAGCACCTGAAATCCCAACATATCCTGCAAGCTCTTATCAGAGGTCCCAGGTGAAGTCTCAGGCCAGTTCTTTGCCCTGGATCCCATTTTTATTTCTTCAGAAAATGGCTAGTATTCCCCACCAGACAAATCAGAAAGCCAAACATCTCTCTCACAGTGGGCACACACACAAAAAGAAATCCTTTTAAATCATTGGCTGCAACCAGAAAGCTGGCAACAATCTGAGGAGCACTGCATGCAGAGAACTCACTGTCCTCAAAGAAGCAAAAAGAAAAAAGGAGGAAACATTACTTGCACAAAGAGAACTACCACTACGTAACAGTGAAGGAAAGGCTGTCTGGCAGTGCAGCAACCTGCTCTTCAGCCAAGGACTCTGAAACAGCAACAATGGTCACAGGAGTCCATCCAACACGTGGATCAACCAGTGCCAATTAGGAGCATTGGTTTGTTGAAAAAAAAAATAAAATTCCAGTGAGAAGGACAATTCCTCAGCGCAGTGGAAAATATCTGACCCAATGATTTATTATTCTTGCTGCATTAGCTATTTTTACTGTTAGAGTGCCTTTCATCCGAGGTGCTCCTCACTCACAGCAAAACCCAGAGGGGAATGCGGAGCAGCGAGGCACTTTCATCTCCTTCACATCAGAATTCCTGCCCTGCCCAGCTGCCTCCCCAGGGCGCTGGCATCCCGCTCCGCTTTCACAGCGACCCGCAGCAGAATATTTCAAGGATGAGCTAGAGGCCTAGAGAATGCAGTTTCAATGACATTGTTGTAGCAATAGAAAGGAAAAAAAAAAAAAAAAAAACAAACCCCAGACACAAACCAGGCAGGAGTGATCAGCTGCAGAAAGAAGCTCTGAAAGATGGAGAACTGGCTGCAAGGTGCATGAGCCATGGTTTTAAATCATCCTGTTCTCTCAGCAATATCAGCACACGTGATTTATGCAAGCAAAAATGTCACGGAGCATTTGCATTTCAGAAAGGATTCAGCAGCTCCACACTGTTTTAATTTCAATTCTTGGTTTCAATTTAGTGGGTTAAAAAAACCATAAAGAGTTGATTAGCAGCTGTGGCTACCAGTGAAATGAAGTTACACCACACTTCAGAATAATATTGTTCAGCATAGGATGCCAGCTATTTCTCACACAAAATAGTTTGCTTATGTTAAACCCAGATTTAAAAAAATGTTAAAATTCAAGTACAACAACTAAAAATACTGGAGTGCTGGGCAGGGACCTTTGCAATGGTCTGTAGATCCAAGTGCCATATCACAGGCAAAAAGCAGACACTCACACATCCAAGTTGTTCTCACATTGCACTGCATTCACTTAAAATTATTTTTTTTCCCCACTCACTTACTAAAGCTCATGTAAAATGTTACAGACACACACTCTGGTTCAATCAAATCCTGTTTTTTCTTTTGCTTAGGCATCTTTCAACTATTGCAGCTCATACAAAAAAGTGAAGCAAAGGTCCAGTTAATAAAATTTTTACATGGAATATAGTCAAGTCCATGGGTCCTGGGATTGGTTTGTTTGCTTGTTTGTTTGTTTTTAAATGTTTTGGGTCTATATTCCCCCAATCTCCTAGGGAAAAAAACACGGACAATTAATACACTGAGAATCCCACAAAGTCAATTTTAAAAGTAATTGTCTTAAAGCACTTGAGCCCAGAAGCACAATATAAAGGTTTTGGAACGGACTGGAAGGCATGAGATTTAACCATAAATCATAATTACATAGCCAGAAGGGGAAAAAAAAATTTAAGCTATGAAGTCTGGGGTTTGATCTCAAAATACAACACATCTACTAACTTATTTGTGAGCTCCACACAAAATACTCTATTACAATGAATGTTGAGAAATTGAGATGTGAGAAGGCTGTAAAAGTCAGACTGAGAGCTACCCAGGCAAAGTACTGGACACTTGGGACACCTCTAAGTGATGGTTTTATTTCCACAGTCTGCAGGAGTGTCACCTAGAACCAATGTACAACCTCTGAAGTGTCATGTGGTCAACTTGGACCTGATCCTCAAAAATTCTACAATCAAAACTTGCAGGCTCAACTCTCCTAATGCACGGCACGTTCTTGACAGCGTATTAAGTGGTGATCCTCTCAATGACAAATAATAAGTTAACCACAAATGTGAAATAAAACAAATAAAAAAGAAGATTAAGTTGTACAATTCAGATGTAAATTCAGATGTAAAAACACCTCTGAGGAGATGCAATTGGCCCAAGCAGGCTCTTCACAAGGACCAAGGGTTACACATCAGGCAGGGCACAGCTTGCCATTGCAACTCCATGTCTGACTTAAAGAAATCAGGATTTGTAAAGAACCACCTTGGTGCACAGATCTGATGAGAGGAACACACAGAAGTCAAAACGTGCTCCAAGATGCAGACAGCTGCATTTGTCAGTGTCCAGGCAAAAGACTTCTAAGCCACAGGAAGAGCAAAGCTCTCATTTTGTTCCAAGGAAAACGCCAGGATCTTCACTTTAATCTCTGAGTCTGTGAATGGTGAGGATTGTTTTGGTGCTTTTTAAATTTTTTTTTAAAGGTAACATTTTTCTCCCTGTTCTTTCTGAATGCAGGACCTTTTGTGCTTAGTGGCACCGCCACCATTAGCAGCAAAGTTCTCACTGAATGCTTCACTGTGGCCAAATCCAGTGAAAACCAACAATAAAATGAGAATTTATATGAAAAGTGACATCTGGCTCTGGAGACAGAAGGGTGATTCAGAGCAGGAGGAGGGGAACACCCCACAGCTGCCTGGGCAAGGCGGACTGCTCATCTCCTCGTCCAGCCCCCACCATCACAGCCTGCCTCAAACCACAGCCAAGGCAAAAGATCACCCACATTCTTACACGAGCAGGAATTCTCCAAAATATTTGAAAAAAGCAATGCCTACCTAAGAGTGACAAGATGGATCAGGAAAAATAGCTCTCCCCTACTTTGGCTATGTGACTGGTCAAAATTGCCAAGTTATCCCAATCCTGCCTTTAGAAGAAAAGACAATTATTTTCCAGACTATCATAGCTCTCAACTGCATTGGACTTAAGCCCATCCCCAAAAGCTGCACTCTGTAAGGAACAGTTTCCTCAGCCTGTGCCTGAAGATTTCTTCCAAACCCAAAGCATGCCAGCCAAGCCAAAGCATGCTTGGATGAGCACTTTGTCCCACACAACAAGTGGTGCTCAACACTTTGCTCCGCAGTAAGAGCACACACAGCTTGCAGGCTCAACCACTTAGGTTAGAAAAGGCCTCTGAGATCAGAGTTCAACTGCCAACCCAGCCTGCCACTGAACCATCCAGCTACGAGCTGCCCAACATCTCTACACAACTGAAATCCTGCAGAAAAGAATACCTACAAAACAACAACAAAAGCCAAAGAGAAGAACTGGCTGCCTCAGTGACCCTAAGTTCAGTCTACACTTCTGGCCTGTTTGAAAATCAAGTGTTTTTTATGTGTTGGAGAAATCAGTTAAGACAAAATGCTTGCAAAGCGGCTGTAAAATGTTTCTCATACAAACTGCATGTCTTCTTCCAAAGAATTAAACATTTGTAGAGCAACAATACTTCAGGCATTTAAGCAAACTAATTTCTACTCACTGTTCCGTGGTAGTTCCTGTACATCGGCATCTTTAGGATCTTTGTCAAGTAGTCTTCCAGCTGCTTCTACAATTAAAACATCAAAACTTTAGGTAAGATGAAGCAATTTTCAAGGACAAAAAAAAAAAAAAAAACAACACAATCCAACTGTCTAGCATCAGAAAGCAATCAAGAAATCAGACGTTTTTCACCTTGAACAGATAAATAAACCCATTACTATGGGCTCACGGAAGATTATAGCTCAGCAGCATAAACAGCGCGATCCCAGGCTGTTTACTGTTCACAGATGAGTGCTTGTACCTTCCACCAGCAAACCCGTTCCAGTTTAGAGGTCAGCTTGCTTGACTGAGCCCAAGTTTCAGAAAAATTTTCAATCTGGAATCAGTCCCCACTGTTTGAGCCACATGAATTAGTTTTGAGAGAAAACACAGCCTCAGACACAGTCGAGAGCGCCTAGTTAACCCAAACACCAGGGTGATGGGGTGAGGAGCACAGTGACCATGCTGCCCTGTCCCAGAGCCATGGAAAGGGCACTGGCCAGGCCACCACTCACTGGAGAGCCTGTCCTCCCCAGCCAGGAAGGGAGAGGAGAAGAAACCATTACAAGAGAGACAATCTCTTCCCATTCACATAGTAACTGGGCAAAGAAGAGATGAAGCTGTCTGGGCATGGGAAACCAGAGTCCTACAGAACACAAACCAAAAAGAAAGAAATGCCACTGGGACCTTTGTGCTTCCCAGCATTATCATCACAGTCCTGAGCTTTCAGTTGGGCAGTGAGTATATATGCCCATGCTAAAAGCTGTGGGATTCCCATAAGGAAACCAAGGTGGGGGAAAGGATCTAAAAACCATTATTCTCCCTCTTTTAAACCAACATCTCTCTCCTGAAACTCCCCTCACAGCAGCAAAGCTGAGCACAGCAGGGAGAGTTATCTGCACTGCATCACAAGACAACATTCTGGGACTGGAGGCTTCAGCAGCAGAAAGCCCAAGGAGGGACTGAATAGCAGAAAGAAAATAAGCACACTGTGAACAAACATGGGGGTTTACAGAGACTTTTTTTTTTCTTTTGCAAACAGCAAAGCTGCAATGAAGAGGTAGGAAGACATCCACCCCCTCCATAGAAGGGCCCATCTGTTAACATCTGATGAAGTTACACAGAGCACGTGTGGCTCAGCTAAAATTATCCACTTCAGCATTAAGAGGCTGAGTGTCACCTCCTCTTTCAAAGGGGGACAAAACTGAAACCTCTCAGATTTTGATGGCCATGGAGCTGCCTCCATCACACAATGTGACTTGGTGAACTTTAAATCGGAGCAGACAGGAGGAGTGGAACAACCACTCTGGCCATAACATTTTTCCTTCATTGTAAAGCAAAACTTCCCCCTCCGTGAGCCCCAGGAGCAGCATCCTCCTCTTTACACAGAGAATTTGGTGTTAAAGCTAGACTTGTCCAAGTCAAAGTTTGTCAAGCAAAAATCTAATAGTAACAAGTCCTAGAACGGTTTGAGTTGGAAAGGACCTTAAAGATCATCCAGTCCTAACCCCCTTGCCACAGGTTACCCCCTCCCACTAGATTGTATGGAAGGGCCCTGCAAGAATGGCTTTGGAAGCAACCTGCCTGGGACCTCATCAGCACCCAGAGCACCCCGTGGCCCCGCGGCGGGCGCTCACCCTCCTGCTGGAGAAGTGCTCCTCCCGCACCGTGCTCTCCGCCGTGTGCGGCAGGCTCGGCATCTGCCTCGGTTCTCCCCTCTTGATGGATTGTCTCCTCACCGTGTGACTGGAAGGGAAAACAAACCCCGACACCAAGTCCAGGTGCTGCGAGCGTGGATTCATTCAAGAGGCCAGTGTGTTCCAGCTGGCTCACAAAAACGCAACACAGAAAGAGCTGAGTTTGCTTTCTGAGGGTCCCTCTTTTGGCCTTAGAAGGAAAGGGATCCTAAACCCTATTTTAGGGTATTATGTTCCCCCAGCCCATAATTCCACCTTTGTTAGTATCATCTCCCCATACTTTTCCACATCAGAAGGCTCTTGCTGACTGAGAGCACTTCTCTTCCTGCTTAGACTTCCAGCCACCTTCAGGCACCAAGGCCAGCCTGGGCAGAGCTGACCACCCATGCCAGGGACCCTTGTACCTCCCACACCCAGCCCATGCTGGAGAAAGCTGCAGCACACCAACAATTTCCATTTGCATTAGCTCGAAATTCAAGGCAAATTCATCTCAAAAGCTGATGATCTGGGACCCAATGTGCTTTCTGCATCAACACAAAAATGCTTGCGCTGCTTAGATTAAAGCTGCTAAATACACAGAGATTAAATATTTCTATTATAACTGGTTAATATTTGTAGAGACTAAATTCTTCTCTCCTCTCCTCCTCTGAGCAAAATAAATGGGATCAGTGAATTCAAACCAGTATGATATTAAAAGAGAAAGGAAGACCTCATCTTCCCAAAGCCCACTGTGTCCACAGGGCTGCACACTCACCTCCTGGTAGGGATAGGGATGCGCACGAAGGCTTTGTACCTCAGCAGCTCCCTGTGAAACTCCTGGAAGTGCTTGAACTTCCTCTTCACCTGCCAGGTGAACTCTCCATGAGTCAGCTCGATGGTGTAAACATTGGGGCTTGGTACCTGCGGAGAAGAACACCACCACAAGGGATGCAGCTTTGAAACAGGCATTTTCCTGCAGCTGCTCCTCTAAAGAGCTCTCATTCAGTTTTATATCAGGATGATTCTTTCTCAGCATTTCTTGTTCTGTTTTGTTTGGTTTTATAAACAGACGGGTAATCTTCTCTGAAGCATTTTCTGAGACACAGACATTCCCGCGAACCCAACCCATGAACGAGCACATGCCAAATTCACCCACAAACCGTGTTTTAATACAGTTCCACAGAAGGGAGATGAACTTTCTGGACGTTCTGACCTTCTTTGTGGATGTAAACCGTTCAACTTCCAACACCCGCACTCGAACAGGACATCCTGTGAGGTACGTCTGCGTGCCCGGCTCCTTGAACCCACGGGTGTGATAGATGGCAGAGAAGGGAATGCACACTGGAAGGACCACAAACACCATTAGTTCAGCAGCCTTGTAACAACCAACGAGGGCATGAAAGCCAGCAGGTAGCTGCAATACTTCAAGAGGGAAGCATTTATCGCATGAATTCTCCTAAGATATACCAGGTTTTATTTAAGAGAGCTTAAAGACAAGCTTTCACAGAAGGGACTTGAATTGAAGGGCTCAAGTGCTAAGACTAATGCCACCTGCTCCTAAAACAAGGTCGTGGCCAGGCTGGGCTTGGTAAAACCACTGAGTTTGTGCCCTATCTGTCAACAGATTATGAGTTATTAAATCCAGGCACGACACGAGGTGAGAACATAGAGGCATCAACTCACCGGTGCCTTTCGGGTCATTTAGCACCTCGGAGTCGACCTCCTCCCCATCAAAGTGCAGCTCCCTGGTGTCCAGGCTCTCGATGATGTTGCTCATGTCTGCAGCAAGTCTCTTCAGCGTCGATGTAGCTGCATGGCTTTCGGCCCCCAGTGACATCTCAGGGACCTGCGCCCTGGGGCCGCAGGGCACTGGGGAAGCAGAAGGAGCAGGGCTGCCATCACCTCCTCCACGACGCCCGGGCCCAGGGGGGCTGAGGGAAACCCCTGTGCTGTGTGGCTCCATCTTCCCTCCAGCCCCTCACCCACCTTCATCGACCACCCCACCCTACAGAGCCGATGTAGAACACCCAGCCCTGCAGCTGCAGGAGGCCACTGCCCAGAGCAGTGGAAATGCACAGGTAGCTTCAGGCCACCACAGGAAATTTCACCTGATGCTAGTGACCACAGGACTCATACACTCCAGTTGTATTTCAAAAACAGAAAACATATTTATCTTTCCAGCTACAAAAACCTGCAGGGGGTTGGTTGTGGCTTAGCAGTACCTTCACACATTGACCTCAATGGGAAAGCAAAGAAGCTTCTTCATCAACTCACCTGACCATCTCAGCTAGCTCCGTAATAATGACGATGCACCAGGACAAGCACAAACCACAAGAATGCTTGGCCAAATCCTAGACTTAACTCACACAATGCTACGTTTCCCAGGTTAGGATCCACAGAGGAAAAGCTCACTCAGAAAATCAGTACGTGTTTTTAATCAAGAGTTCTTCCTTTGACTGAACTAGGGATATAAACTCCTGGCATCAGGAAGACTTCCTCTATCCCTACACACCTTACACAACCGCCTGTGGCATCTGCAAGCCTCGTGCTCTCCCATGACTCCACCCTCTCAACAGGCTGAAATGTCCCAGTCCCAGGGGAGCACTGTTGGGTCAGGGGCACCCTGATGCCCACAGAAAGCCTGGAAGCAAGATGGGTGGACACTGCAGCTCACCCTTGTGCTCATCCCTCCAACAGCCACCCAGGGAGCTCACACCCCTCACTACAGCTGAGGTGGCTGCAGGGGACCAGCCCAAGACCCCTTTGTGAGGCATAGCAAGCACTGGGAAGGCTGTTGCCTGCTCATGGCAGTTGGGCAGAGATGTTTGGCACTGATGACTTCAGCACTTCCAACCTTTATCCCCACCCACCCATACCAACAGCCTCAGTCAGGACAAAAACCGGTAAGGAAGAAAAAAAAAACAAAAAAGGAAAAAAAAAAAAATAATCAAGCTTTCAGTGCTCTTGAATATTTGCAAAGCTGCTTTTTCTTCCTCCTCCAGGCTCTGCAACAAGCTATGTGGCTGAGGACCTGGCTGCTGGTCCCTACATGCAGCCAAGCTCCAGCTCCTGGGCATCTCTCTTCTAGAAAGCCCCTTCAATCTTTATTCTGCTCTGCAACAAATGTCACAGCTCGACTGCTACGCTGAAAAAACACAGACAGGGCAAACCAGCAGCATCTTACACAAGCCAATACAAGGATGGCCATTTATACTCAGAGAAGCTATTACGTAAAAGAATGATTAAAAAGAAAAATAGAAAAAAAGTGTGACATTTCTGATGTTAAATTCTGCAAAGAACGCTGTGGAATTATTCTTGAGTGAGCTCCACAGAAAGAGCTGGATATACTGTAATTTGGAAATAATTTAACATTTTAATAATTCATGTGTTTAGCTGCTTTTGAAAGAACATTCTTTATTATCATTCCCTCTTGAAACGAGTACATAATTTTCTTACTACATAAGGCTGATATCATGTAAGCCCAAAAACATGTTAAAATCAGCTGCCTTCAGAAAAAAAACACCCATCCGTTTGCACACAGACTTGAATCCAGAAAAACTGGGTCAATCTCCTGTACCAAAATAAATGCAGAACCAACCGCTTCATCTAAGGAGCAAGAGCTCTTGGTGGCTCTGCCACATTCCACCAGTGGCTGGGGATGCCACCACATGTCACTGCAAGGGATCCAGCTGAATAACCCAAACCCACAGACGGATACTCCTGGATATTCCCCTTGTCCAGGGAGGGCAAAAAGGGAATTGGCATTCATGCCACAGCTGGGACACACTGACCAGGGGCGATGCAACCACTGCTGTGACCCACTGCCCTGTGCAGCCTGCAAAGCCACCCACAGTGGGAATTTGGCACCAGCAGTGCCTTATGGCTCCTTCATCGTGCCTGGCTGGATGGGAAGCCAGCTCCCACATCACAAGTGTTACTCCTACCTACTACTAACACTGTACTGCAGGGACTTCAATTGCTCAGAGAGCACAAGGTACACTCTTACGTTCTTCTAGCACTGAAGTCATTCCATCAGATATAGCCTGGCTTCAGAGGTTTGATTTTCTCCCCAGAAAGCAGGCACGCACAAAGAGCGTTCCCAGGATGGGAGGCCACACCACCAGGCTTTCCCAAATAACCCTGGGGGAGGCAGGGGGGAGCCCAGAGCTGCCCCGCTCTGCACCAACATACACAATAAAATCCCATTTTCTTTTTCACGCAGCGCTCCACACTATGAATTTTTTTAGCCATCTTTAGTGGTACATAAAGCAGCATCTTGCTTTATGTTTCTTCTGTCTGTATTCACATTTAGAAACAAAATAGAGGGGGTTTCTGAGTCTGAAGAGATGCTGTTGCTCAATGGAAACTTCATGCACTTTCTACAAGAAGAGGTCTGCACAGACCCAAGAAGAGCCCAAACACTTTGTACACACCATGCTAGCAGCCGCCTGAAGGAAACCAGCAGATAAATGCCACATCCACAGGGCTGGAGGAAGAGTCCACATGGAAAGGATGTGCATCCTCTCTCCTCCTCTCCTCCCCTCTGTGCCAGGTACAGCCAGGCTCGTCTTGTCTCATTAACTGATGCAGTTGGTTAATGGATAAACAATTAACCAGTGCACACAAAGATTATTTCCTAAGGACCACAGCAGGGTTGCATACTCAGGATATTTTTAAAGGAAAGTTCAAGCTGCTTTCATAGCTGGCACAGAAAAGTTCTAGGATAAAGCAGAGTTCAAACTGAGTTTGACCCGAGCCATTCCCAGCAGCAAGATTCCACCTCCCCATAAAGCTTATAGCCAGATTATGGGCTCAAGAGGGAAAACGTGACTTGCCTAAAGCTCTGCCAGAAGCCCCACGAGCCTGGGCAGTGGCCAAGCTCTCGTCACAGCTGGAAGATAGGGGGCAAACCCAGCCCAGACAGGGAGGGCAGCACAGGGGCAGCTGGAAAGATGGCACAGACCACATCCCTCTGAAAGCTTCTGCAAATTGCTTTACACAACTCTGCTCGGTAAGAGCTACCTAACCTCTTGGCCAGAGGTTCCATGTGGACACTAAATTCCCACAGGTGAGGTGAGGAACGCTCCTGGGCTCATCTGCTGGGTGCAAACCCCTGCCAAGCGCGGTCCCCCGGGACCCCGCAGAAGGGCTGCATGAGGAAGGTCCTGTCCCTCCACTGCCACTCACTCCTTCCACAAACAATGGGCTAGAGAATGGGCTTTTACAGCTTCCTGATACTGTCAGCTTTGGAGGCTGCAGTTACGTAAAGGACAGAGAATTCAAGTGATACCAGCCAATTTTGGAGGGGTGGAAATACTAGGATGACATTTATTAGAAACAAATGCTGTGTGTTTCAGTATTTGGCTGTTGCCACCCAGGACAGAAAATAAGCAGCAGTTTAAAGAAAAAAATAAAATTAAAAAAGAGAAAACAAAACCACTAAAAGAAAGACCAGGGTTTCAGTGTGTTAAGAACTGGAAATTCAAAAGCAAAAACTGTGCCAAGATGCACAAACAGGACTACAGCCTGCAAGCCAAAAAGGAAGGTAGGGTGGAGGAGACAGGAGGAGTCACATCTAAAGCACTTGAACCGTGAAAACACAGTGTCAGGACAGAGAAGGAAGAGACTCAGAGGAAACACAACAGCCAGCCTGTAGAAGGCTGTTGTGATCGGGATGGGCACAACAAAACTGCTCTGAATTAAAGCAGGGACTAGGGAGAAAAACCCCATCTGATGGCAAAGGCATGTGGGACTGCCCAAGGAGCGGTTCCCAGAGTCCCCAGGGCTGGAGGACTGCAAGGCAGGCTGCCCACACTGACCTTCCTGGGGCAGGGGAGGAGGAAGAGCTGGCCCAGCCCCTCCGGAGACCCCCAGCCCCCACGGCCCCAAAGCTGGCCTGGTGACCTCTGTGAACAGGGGGAAGGAGCTGCTCCAGCTTGATCCCACTCAATCTGCTTGGGCAAGAGCAGCCAGGAGGAAAATCCAGTGAAAAAACAGTCAGCGATAAAGGAAAACTTTGGAAAGAATGAGCAAACAAGGAAAAAGAGAGAGAGTAAAAAACCCATACTAAAACCCACACAAACACTGCTGACACCACCTTTGTCCAGCCCCCAGTTTTCAGCTTAATTATTTCCTCTTCCAAGCACAATTTAAGCTCTCTGCCTCCCTTCACCAGGCTGTCCCCACAGCACATGGGCTCCAAACCTCTTGAACTTGTAAAACAAATAAATTGGAAATAGTAACTGCACCAAGAATCCAGGTTTTAACTACTTGAAAAGTGACTATAAAAATCAAAAATAACTCTATTAATCCCTGAGCCCTTGGGAATGTATTGCAAACCCCTAGCTCGGTCCTGCAACTTTGCAAGCCTGATACCTGTTTTTGTGATTTGCCCTTTTGGCTATGCCAAAAGTGATCCCCTCAAGTTATTACTTAGGGGATCACATGACACTCAACTTTTGCTCAGGAAACACTGCTTTTATACTTGTTGCACAGGACAACAAAAGTACAGCTTTAAAGGCATGGAAACTGGAAGGCAGAAAATGCATATTTTAGTAAATATTCATGAACAGTTCTGGTTTTAAAACATTTAAGCCCTGATGTGAAAATGTATGCAGCTGGTGATAGCACAGACTAGCCGAAATTTGGTCAGCCCAAGTTTATTCTCTTCCCTGTATCAACAAGCTCAGACAATTGCTGGCCCTTAACAAGGTTATCATGCTAATGAGCACCACGAAGAGCTAGGACACCCAGAGAGCATTCACTGGGGAAAGGGAGGAGGAGGGAAGAGAAAAATGTATCCAATAAAAACATGCATTTCCTGCTAATGCCTCTCAG